TATTGCCAGGAAGGTTGGATTCTCCTCGACCTTCTCCAAGAGTATTTTCTCAGTTTTGTGACAGAATTGAGCCCAGGACCCTTTCCTGAACTTTCCATTCTGGTTATTAATTGATCTTTCAATCAGCTGTGACCAGGAGCCCTTTTGGCAGGGTAGTTCCAATAGCTGCTGTTGGAGGCTGATCCTAAGCCTAAATGCCTTCTAATGCCTAAAACCTCCTGGTAACTTCCAGGTTAAATTTATATATAATGCATTTAGGTCCATTTGTTCAAGGACCAAGATGGAATAGGTTTTCTCCTTTCTGAGGTTTAAGTCTTTTCTGCATTTGTCAAGAGCAGTCTCCTAAGATCAGAGATACCAATAGAGGAGAAATATATTTACTAGCTGATATCTTAGTGAAAGTGGCTGCAGAACTTTGGAATTGATCATTTGCGGGTGCTGTGACCCCACAGCAGTGTTTCTAGGATTGCTTTACAATGCCAAACAGCTTCAGGCTGCACTCTACGTAGTAGCATCCTATCGCAGCGCTATCTCGAAGGAATCACTGTGCAGCTGTCAACACTCAGAAGCGATGCAGATATGGGTATATCAGACTCCTTACATTAATTCAGATGTTTGTGCATTTAGACTGCTTTGTATAATTATTCTTCTGATGCTGGGCTGTACTAGTGAAAATTACACACAGAGGAACTTGAGAGATGCTTAAATGACAGTTGACCCCGCTCTAACCTATGACTTTCTCTGAACTGAAGAATTTGGTCTGCTACCTCCTCAGAGACAAAAATCTCAGGGGATCTCAGCATGATAGATAGGCTGAGCTAAATGTGATTATCCATGCCACTTGTGTCAAGCAGCACTGTTCACAACGAGTTGCTCCTGTTCACATACCCACCCAGTGTTCTGGGTGTATTTGATGGACTCTGCAATGCCTTAGAAAGTGAATGAGTGGGGTGAAAAGTCAAGGGATGCTTAAAAGCAGAAAAAGAAATAGTGACCTTGTTCTCATGCAAAAAGCAAGCAGAAATAACTGACAGCTTATGCCAAGAAAAAACAAGAAACAGCAACCGAACAGCTGTATGCCAGGATCTGTCCGTAACGAGCAGAGTACATTCTGCACCATTAGTGGGGTTCAACTGAGCCCGGTGACTCCAGTGAGCTGACAGAAGTCGTGCAAAGCTTAGTTTAACACAATCTGCAGAAGCAGCTCTGCACAGTTGCTATAACACTCTGTTAAACTAGGCTAAACTCTGCATACTGCTATAGTCACTGCTTTTGGAACCACTCTGGATTCAGTCTGTCAGAATGTTCCTCTCCTTTAGAAAATACATAATCTCATTTAAAATCATCTAGTTTCCTGAAAGCTACTCAACATGGGGAAAAAAGGCTGACACAGTTCCCTCTTGCCTGCTGATGTAGTAAACTTACTGATTGCTTATGTGCAGTAACACCAACCACAATTTTTTTTTAAATTTTTGAAATCACATTTATGAACACCTTCTTGGTTCATACTGTCTTCTCAAATATGGGCATTTATATGTATTGCTTCTTAGGAAAGATCTGTTTCTGAAAGGGTATTTTTAAAAAAACCCTTTTCTTATTTTTTAAAATCTTCAGTGTGACTTCTTCAAGGGGAAAACCCTCTCCTCTGCCTTTCCCCCCAGCACCCCAAACACTTTCCCTTCTGTCGCTTCACCTGTTGGGATACTAGTGAATTTTTGGGTTTGAAACTATCATGGACAGGATTCCCCACCTGCCACAAAGCAACCTACTCTCCTAACACAGCTCTGAAATATCTGTCTGATCTCAACTGTTGAGGATTCAGTAGATAATTATTTTTCTCTGAATCAATGCCTCAACAAGATTTTGGGAAGAAGAGACAGTTATCAGTGAGCTATAAAAGGAGATCTGGGATCTATCACAGCACTTTGTTGTTTTTTAACAAAACCTTTGACTTTCTTAGTGTGAAATAGCTTTGTTTGAGAAGTGAGCTGTGTTTGCTGTTTTTTTTTTTTTTTTAAAAAAAAAAAAGAACACCACACACAAAAAACCCCTCGAACCCCAAATGGATGGGTGGATGGCAGTCAAGTGAAATATTCCAGGTTTATCTGAAATCATGTTTCTAAAGAAATTTAGAAAAACTGTTTCCTTGTCACAGGGAACCAATTTCTTCTCCCTGTCCTGATGTGTGAAAGCTAATGGAGATTACTTTGACATGATCTCAATGCGTGTCCTGCAGAAGGAAAAGTGCTCGTCCTGGAGTTTTTGGCTGAAGTCCAGCACAGAAAATTGAAGTTCATCTTCTCAAATCCTCTCTGTAACTCTGCTCGGATAGAGTCTTCTTCCACTCCCTGTACAAAATCTTTTGCTGCTATTTTAATAGCTTCAGAGCTCTGTCCCTAGCATCCATCTTAAATGATGAGGAAAGTGACCCTTTCAGTCTCAAGCCCAATTCACACTGACTGTCCTGACATTAGTTAGCTAATGATTTGTGAAATATTTTGTGATATACCTTGTGGTCTTCAGCTGAACAGTCCTCTGTAAGTGTCTAGTCTTAGTAGTAGTGACAGTACATAGCAAGTCACCGTTGCATTTCCCTGTGCATTTCTTTCATTCAAGCATGTTAAGTGGTTAAACTTCTGCTGCATGTTGAAAATTTTTGGTTTTGGCAGTGTTATTGCAAGCTTCCTCTTGCAGACTTTCTTCCTGCCAGCAGCTCCCATTCACACCAGCAATCTCATCAGCTGCACGCCAGCGAAATTTTGCAGTGTACCACAGTGTACCCTGAGATGCAGATTTCCCCCCCGCCCCCGCCATCCACTCAGAGCACACTTGAGCTTCTACCCAGGGTTATGGGGAACCAGGGAGTAGAAGATGCTCGTGTGCATAAAGCTTTTGTGCCAGTGTAGCCATGGGACCTGACCAGGGCTCACCCCTGTGCCTGAGAATGAGTAAGTCCTTCTACATGCATTAATCTAACTGCAACTAGGGACATAATTGGGATTATTCATGTTACACCAACTGGGAGGATTTGAGCTCTGCTGCATGTGAGATCATATCCACAAAGCCAATGCAAATCTCCCACTGGTTTTGGAAAAGCCTGGATATAAGATGATATCCTTACTACTGAGAGCTGGAATGAAAGAGATGCAGAGAAACCATTAGCAATCCACGAGCAGCGGCGTACCTTGCAGCTTCAGAGTATCTCTCCAAACACCTAAACACAGTAGCTTGGCGCAGGTGGTTCCGGAAATAAGCTGGGTTCAGAATAATGCTCCTTTAAAAGATAAGAGAGATGGACAGGCTTAGATTTCTAATTCTTAAATCATTAAAAGCTACTAATAATCAAACAGAGTCCGAGACATTCTGTGTACACTTATTCCATACAACTCAACACTGCGTGCGTCAAATCTAAGATGAACTATCCCTTTCTCTCCCTTGACAGCTGTGATATATGAACAAGCATTATTTTTATTGAGATTATATCATAAATGCAGTTTTGTTAGGGTTTTGTGTATTGTTCTAGAAAGAAGTTCCTGTGGTAATATGTTATATTGCCTCTAGCTTGGAGATAACATAAGCAAAAATGCTACAGTACAACTTCTTGTTAACCCACCCCTACCTCCACAAACACGAGTGGCAGTCGTCTGACCTGTCTACTTGGAAAACTCTGTCTAGAATGTATTTTAATGTTAGCTTGAAAGATTTTAAAATACTTTCTGTACAAGTGATAGGTTTTATGTGGGTGGACCTTGGCATGTTTCTTAGACCCTTAATTTTAACAGATGCAATTCCAGGTGTAACAAATTACAGGCTTTAAGTCAATATCAGAAAAAGAGCATAAAAATAGCATTAACTAAGCAGTTAGATTGGCAGGCAGGGTGTCCTTCTGATGGGAGCAGAGGGAGGACAAGAGTGACAGCTCCTACTTCTCGTTAGTTCTATTTGTGAGATCTCCAAGAAGTGACTTGCTTCTCTGGTCAGCACTTCTCCCAGGGTTTGGAGAAAAGGTACATAAAGCATGTTCTAGGATGCAAAAATTTAATGTTTATCAGTGCATACATGTTTTATAAAGTGTTCAATGGTAGCTTCCAACATCAACAAGGAGATTAACACTACATTCTACTACAAAGAAAAACTTGCCAACTGGCTTTTGTTTCCTCATTGATAGTTTGGGATACCATTATAGCATTAAATACAACTGCTCTTGGCATTTCAGTCTACTAATAACCACAGAACTAATCCTCTTCATAACCAAATCATTTATTGAAGTTTTTTCATTGTCTTGATACTGATATAAATATATATGTAAACATTCATCTATAAGTTCACATTTATGGAAACACTCAGTGCATTTTAGAAGACCAATAACTGTCTTTTCTGTATGTTTTTGGCCCTCATGGACTGTATGTCTGGGGCCTTCAGAATGAACTTTCAGAATAGGTTAAAACCTAAAAGTGTCTCCAAGACGCTGTAGGCTTGTGAATCAAATTCACTCTGCAGGCACTTTCTCCAAGGTGTACAGAAGAAGGCCTAAAGCTCTGAATGGTTACCTCTACATTTGCAAGTAATTAGATCTATTAGGAGTGGATCAGTAGATCAGAGAAGGTAATCTTGAAGCCCCTACATCTATATTGTAAGCAGTCTGGGCTTTTATTTCAGACTAGACTTAGACTGTTCCCTTAAACAAAATGTCCTCCTACATGTTGCTCAAACCTCTCTTGAAGGTCAGCTATTGGTTTGGATTCCTGTGTCTTCAGTAGGTGCTACTCATATTTTATGCACAGCCCATGCAGAATATGCAGTTAGCTTTCTCTGAAATTAATCTAGTTTCTGAGTGCCAAAATTGGTCTGAACTGTCTAATCTGCAGAAAAGGGAGGAAATTGGGTAAAGTGCACCAAACCAAAATGGTAAGTTAGGTGTACCCAGAGACACTTCTGTTCTTCCGGCACAGTAAAGCTCTAGTCTGTATGAGCAGAGCTGCTCTGTGCTCTGGATATGCAGCTCCACTGAAGACCAGACTGAGGTGGTATAGGAACAAGGAACCATCTCAGAACTATGCCTTCCCAGTCCAACACTTGAAAAAATGGTCAGAAAACTGTATTGAGACAAAGCATTACCCTGCAGGAACTATCTCTCTGGGAAGAAGGTGTGAGGGAAACCAGTGACAAATGACTTCAAGTTAAGGCATAATTGGTGGAAGTGCAGACCTTAGTGTCTGCAGGCACCTCTAAATACTGAACTGAAATCCAATGTACAAAACAGCACCCGATGTTAAAATTTAGTTGCTCTTAATGAAAGGGGGGGGTGGGGGTGGGAGTGGAGAAAGATTCTTGTCAGCAACCAAAAGATAATGCCAACAGGAGACACTGCAGTTCTCAGTCAAACATGGTTCCGATCTGAAGTTTAGGCAATACTGATGGTCACCAAAAAACTTAATTTAACCAAAGCAAAATCACCAAAAGATCAAATGCTATCAGCATTTAATGATTTGACCAAACCAGTAATATCTTATGTAGATGACAACTGGTACTTTTGCAAGCTATTTGAAAGGAGATTATTGCTGCTGTAAACTGTAGTCAACAGTTGATAATAGTGATATTGATTTTTTCTTTTTTCTTTTTTTTTTTTCCTCTCCAAGTTATTGGTTCTACCAAAGCCAAGCAATAGCACTACGAGGGGAAAAAATTAAAAAATCAATAATTCCCTGGTAGTTAGCAACATATTGAGCAGGATGTGCTGTGATAGGCTTATAATAAATATAGAACTGTAGCAGATTTTCCAAGAATTAGATTTCAGCTCTCAATTTCCCATCTTGATTTTTTACTAGTCTCAAAAAGATCAACTGCTTCTTTTGATCTATAAATTTTATATTGAAATATATTATAGTATGTCCTAAAAGCTTGAGTAAACATCAGAAAGCTACCTTTGACTCGTGACAGTTTGGTTTGATGTTGCTAGGCTCTCTGTAGCCTATATGCTAGAAATAATTTCTGCTATATTACTACTCTACCCCAAAGTAGCCCTTTGCTGTACTGGTGCAGCTCCAGTTTAGTAGCTGCTATGCGGAGCAGTGCTAATTTAATACCAGGTGTGCACTAAAACTGTGCAGAACTATCCCTTTGGCTTTTATGCACGGCTCTGATAAATTTCAGGTGATTTTGGTAAAAAGGGGGGGAAAAAAACCTGAATGAAAATAGAAAGCAAAGGAATCATACAAACAAAGGTTAAGAGGAAAGCCCTAGTTCCAGGAAGTTCTCCTTGAAATGAGAGCAGATGGGGGACCCATCTGGCCAAGCAGAAATGTGCCAGGCTGCGCACACTGAGAACAAGTCCATGCTCCAAGATCCACCTCCAGCCATGAGCAGGCTCGATGCTAGGCTGGTTAATCTGGTAATTAATTAGGAGGGATGTGTTTCAAGAGGAAAGCTTGAAAGAAGCATTAGGAAGGGATGACAGCAGTGGACACACTGGCTG